GGAAAAGGCGAAAAGCAATTTTTACTCTCGTATTTCTCTAGCGACCTTCCAGCAATTCTAATTGGAATCTTCTGAACTTGATTTCCGTATTTTCAGTTGTCGCGAGAAAACTTGAGCATGATAGGCCTCAAAACAAAATTAAAAAAAGAACAACTTTCATCCCCCAAAATCAAGAATAGACTTCTAACTCAAGGTCACTTTTACAAACATGACCGACTATCTCATACTCCCCGGACTCAAAATCGATGTCCTCGTCATGCGTCGTCGTCATTTCAGTGAGCCCTCCAGATTGATGAGTGTGTCCTCAAGATACAGCGGACATTGGTCATTCACAGAAGTTTGGAGCAGATTCAAATTTATCTACATCCCCTAATTTCATAGCCATTTAAAAATTGTCACATTATAGCTAAACAACAATCAAGATCTGCACCCAATCTTCATCTTGAATTTCAGCTTATAAGCTATCCTTGAAAATTTCTTTTTGTTCTAACCAATCTGAAAATTGTCATGCAGAATTTTTGGTTTCTGTGAATAAACTTAATATATTAATAACAATTATTTTTACGCTTAATTTTCTTTTTCCGTGCCCTCAAATCAATGCCCCCCTGTCCTTCGAGGTACTGAGTACAGGACGCAATCGACCCCGTGATTTTGCCTCATCAGTTTACTCTTCAACATCGGAACTGATCACGATCTACTCCCATGCATTCAGCTGTTCATAGGGCTCGCACCCACTCCCTTAGCTCTTGCAATGGTCCTCGTTCGCTCTTGCAATTCAATTTGGATTCTCTGTGAACAAAGATGTCAGTGCTGCTCGAAAACCGTGAGAAGGCATCGTATGCGACCCCCAGGGACGTGCTTCACCTCCATGTGTACAGCGAACATTTTTGCACGCAGTCCTAAAACAAACTCAAGCCTCCCGCTCTATTCAATGGAAATGTAACGTATTCACTGTTGGTAACTTCGACTCCCCGATAATTCATTACATTCTCCTATCATAGCGCCAATATCGCGCTTACTACGAAGAGGAGTGATTTTTTTGCTGATAGTCGGGTAACCCTATCGACTTAATTTCCTCGATATCCCATATCAAGCAGAGGTTTTGATACCGGACACGGGCATTCACCATGCCTCAAGTTGATGCTCCGGATGTTGCGTTCTCCAGAAAGTCTCGAGCAAAAGTTCAAACTAAAATCATCTTCACATCAATCTCGTCCACAATCTTGATCATTATTCGTCCGTCTTCGCGATCTCACTTTGTTTCTAACGTGAGATCGCGACCGATGTGAATGATGTGACATCAGCGCCAGGGCGCACACACTTCAGCACTGAGAAAGCGTTGTCGATCTGCAACCCTTTGACTAGAGGCTTCCACCCATCGCTATGTGTAACAGATAATGACTTCCACACAGGTTCGCCATGACTGATCCCACCAAAGACTTTGCATTCAATGGTAGATCTTAGGCCCTCGCTCACGGCAAAACCCCATCTCTGCCTCAAGGCCGATTTTCTATCCCCTGATATGCTTCTGGACCATCTGCAAACACTCCATGCCAGGATTCCACGCTCAAACACCGTCATCAGATGGTGCTCTGATTCTAACATCTCCAGTGGACTTCAGGACTACACGTCCCTCGAGAAGAATCCCAGTGCCCGTCGCTAGTTTTCCCCGTGATGCGGGTGTAAACACTCATCCACTATTTGCACTTCCTTCTGCTCATTCTGTGTAATATCATTAAACCAAATGGCAAATCCTTTCTTTGAAAAAAAATTGTATTCCGACGCAAGACCGTCCCGTCCCCAACCTCTGATCGCTTTTTATAGACAAACTAACTGGCTCAATCTTCTTTGATGATTTCGTTTCGACTTGCTCATGTCTACCTAAGACTCCTCTCGATGAGGCATGATCAGCTTTGTTTCCATGTTAAAGTTCCCAAGATCCTCATCCTTTCCGGATGAAAGTCTCACTCGCCCCCGTGACTTCTCTTTTTGAAAACTAGTCCTTGGGGATATGGGCAGCACGATGGTCTCAGCAGCCTCCAAAAAAATTCCCATGCTCGTAGACAATATGTTGTCTTTTACTGCCAGCCTCAGCTCTACCTTCCCCTCAGAAACGCGACACACTCTGGCATCTTCTCAAGTAGCACAACTTGGCTCGGTTTTTTTCCCCCTCGGTCGAAACAATGTCCGAATATTTTTCTCTGTCAAGATTTTCAGCAGCTTCCGCAACTTCAAACTTCGAAAAGGCAGCTCCCGCTTCCGAATCCCAAAAAGTGTTGTATGCTATTCCTATCACGCCGGGACACACACTGATTTTCACCTTGCTTCGTGGGTCTCCGTGTAGTCCTTCAGCTAAAACCAGGCTACTACACAATTCATGGCTCTCATCAGTTTTCTTGTTGGAGAAACCTTCGGCCTCTCGTCAAGTTTTGCATGTTTTCTCCGTGTACTGGCCTCGAGCCCATCTCCCTTGTCAATCCCAGCACTCTGATACTCATTCAGGATGACGGTCCGAGATTCTCTTCTCCAATGATTCAACTCTCGCCCGCACTTTGATAGAATGCCTGGAGTAGTAATCGGATATCACCGACAAAATCCATCTCAAGAAAACAGTTGGCATTTTTTCCTCCTTGAAAAAAACCATGAATTGTCTCGAGCAATATGCTTTGTCAGTATTCGATACACGTGCAGGGACTTTGCCGCCCAGTTTGAGCTTATCTTTTGAAGTCAGTGTTTCTAGCGCCACTCCCTGCCACACTCCACGTAAAACACTCATTGCCCCCGCCGTCCCTAACAAAAGAATACGCCCATCAACGGTAGTTGCCGGTGAAAGTGCCCCTCATTTTTGTTCTCAAAAATACCCCCAGCAACAGTTTCTCTCCCAGCTGACTCCTCAATTCAAGCTTTTTTCACTTCTGTCCTGTGTTGGGTAGCCCAATTGCTGCACTTTCTGGATACCCCCCCGATCAAGTTTCTTCAGACAGCTCTCTCTCTCTCTCTCTCTCTCTCTCTCTCTTGTTCTTTTGTAGTTTCCAGAGCTATCCACCAGGGGCGAGCAGTATTTTCTCATCGGTCCACTTTTAAGGGGTCACTCGCTAATTGCTTTCCAATTCCCCTGGTATCGACTCGAGATCCATTCTTAAACCGATTTTCCACTTCCCACTTTTGTCCACTGATGGTTTTCTCTCCTCGCATTCGTCTTCTGGGGTGTGAAGTCTTTTTTCAGTTTCTCAAAGTTGTGGGCGGCTTCCATCTCGATCAAAAACCTCAGCCAACTTTCGGGTCACCGTGCCTGATTTTTGTAGGCTGTCGTTTTTCCATCTTGCCAGAACAAATGAAGCCGTCTCTTTCAAATTCTTCTCTGAGACCGCCTCTGCCGAAGAACTCGACCTCACTTCTTTACTCGGGGGAATTGTCACAATCATCACAGAATCCACTTCTTTAATCAGGTCCCCTTCATTTGACTCCTGCCTCCCCTGTTTGCTGACCTCAGGAATATAAAAATCCTTAATCGTAATATTAGTTATACTTTTATCATCATATTCAGTCCTAGTTTTTTTATCCTCTGTTTTCTCACTCAGAGTAGAGCTATCATCACATGATTTAGCTTCGCCACTCTTCTTCTACCTTCCGCTTCCTTTTCCTCGACCTCACTCCGTTACTCCGGGGCGTTGTCACAATCAGCACAAAATCCATTTCTTTATCCAGGTCCCTTTCATCTGACTCCTGCCTCCCCTGCTCGCTGACCTTAGGAATATAAGTATCCTGAAACATAAAATGAGTTATACTTTTTTCATCAATTTCAGTCCCAGTTTTTTTAACTTCAGTTTTCTCACTCAGAGTAGAGCTATCATCACAATATTTAGCCTCGGCACTCCTCATCTACCTCCCGCTTCCTTTTCCTCGACCTCACTCCTTTACTCCGGGGCGTTGTCCTAATGATCACAGAGTCCACTTCTTTATCCTGGTCACCTTCGTCTGACTCATGCCTCCTTTTATCGCTGACCTTCGGAATATAAATAGCCTTAATCATAATATTAGTTATACGTTTATAATCAATTTAAATCCTAGTTTTTACCTTCAGTTTTTTTCACTCAGAGTAGAGCTATCATCACAATAATTAGCCTCGGCACTCGTTTTCTACCTCCCGCTTCCATTTCCTCGACCTCGCTACTTTACTCCGGGACGTTGTCACAATCATCGCAGAATCTATTTCTTTATCCAGGTCACCGTCATCTGACTCCTGCCTCCTCTGTTCGCTGACCTTAGGAATATAAATATCCTTAATAATAATATTTGTTATACTTTTATAATCCATTTCAGTCCTAATTTTTTTATTCTCAATTTTCTCACTCAGAGTAGAGTTATCATCACATGATTTGCCTCAGCACTTTTCTCCTACCTCACGCTTCCTTTTCCTCGACCTCACTCCTTTACTCCGGGGCGTTGTCACAATCATCACAGAATCCATTTCTTTATCCAGGTCCCCTTCATCTGACTCCTGCCTCCCCTGTTCGCTGACCTTAATAATATAAGTATCCTGAAACATAATATTATTTATAAGTTTTTCATCAATTTCAGTTCTAGTTTTTTTATCTTCAGTTTTCTCACTCAGAGTAGAGCTATCATCACATTATTTAGCCTCGGCACTCCTCTTCAACCTCCCGCTTCCATTTCCTTGACCTCACTCCTTTACTCCGGGGCGTTGTCACAATCATCACAGAATCCACTTCTTTATCCAGGTCACCGTCATCTGACTCCTGCCTCCTCTGTTTGCTGACCTTCGGAATATAAAAATCCTTAATAATTATATTAGTTATACTTCTATAATCAATTTCAGTCCTAGTTTTTTTATTCTCAGTTTTCTCACTCAGAGAAGAGGTATCATCACATAATTTGCCTCAGCACTCTACTCCTACCTCCCGTTTCCCTTTCCTCGACTTCACTCCTTTACTCCGGGGCGTTGTCACAATCATCACCGAATCCATTTCTTCATCCAGGTTCCCTTCGTCTGACGCCTGCCTCCCCTGTTCGCTGACCTTAGGAATATAAGTATCCTGAAACATAAAATTAGTTATACTTTTTTCAAAAATTTCAGTCCTAATTTTTTTTATCTTCAGTTTTCTCACTCAGAGTAGAGCTATCATCACAATAATTAGCCTCGGCACTCGTCTTCTACCTCCCGCTTCCATTTCCTCGACCTCATTCATTTACTCCGGGGCGTTTTCATTATCATAACAGAATCCACTTCTTTATCCAGGTCACCTTCATCTGACTCCTGCCTCTTCTGTTCGCTGACCTTCGGAATATAAATATCCTTAATAATAATATTAGTTATACTTTTATAATCAATTTCAGTCCTAGTTTTTTTATTCTCAGTTTTCTCACTCAGAGTAGAGTTACCATCACATGATTTGCCTCAGCACTCGTTTTCTACCTCCCGCTTCCATTTCCTCGACCTCATTCCTTTACTCCGGGGCGTTGTCATTATCATAACAGAATCCACTTCTTTATCCAGGTCACCTTCATCTGACTCCTGCCTCTTCTGTTCGCTGACCTTCGGAACATAAATATCCTTAATAATAATATTAGTTATACTTTTATAATCAATTTCAGTCCTAGTTTTTTTATTCTCAGTTTTCTCACTCAGAGTAGAGTTACCATCACATGATTTACCTCAGCACTCTTCTCCTACCTCCCGCTTCTTTTTCCTCGACCTGACTCCTTTACTCCGGGGCGTTGTCACAATCAACACAGAATCCATTTCTTTATCCAGGTTCCCTTCATCTGACACCTGCCTCCCCTGTTCGCTGACCTTAGGAATGTAAGTATCCTGAAACATAATATTAGGTTTTTCAACAATTTCAGTCCTAGTTTTTTTATCTTCAGTTTTCTCACTCAGAGTAGAGCTATCATCACAATATTTAGCCTCGCCACTCTTCTCCTACCTCCCGCTTCCATTTACTCGACCTCACTACTTTACTCCCGGGCGTTGTCACAATCATCACAGAATCCACCTCTTTTTCCAGGTCAACTTCATCTGACTCCTGCCTCCTCTGTTCGCTGGCCTTATGAATGTAATTATCCTTAATCATAAAGTTAATTATATATTTAAAATCAATTTAAATCCTAGTTTTTATCCTCAGTTTTCCCACTCAGAGTAGAGCTATCATCACATGATTTAGCCTCGGCAGTTTTCTTCTATCTCCCGCTTCATTTTCCTCGACCTCACTTCTTTTTTCCGGGGCATTGTCACAATCATCACAGAATCTACTTATTTATCCAGGTCCCCTTCATCTGACTCCTGCCTCCCCTGCTCGCTGACCTTAGGAATATAAGTGTCCTGAAACATAAAATGAGTTATACTTTTTTCATCAATTTCAGTCCCAGTTTTTTTATCTTCAGTTTTCTCACTCAGAGTAGAGCTATCATCACAATATTTAGCCTCGGCACTCCTCATCTACCTCCCGCTTCCTTTTCCTCGACCTCACTCCTTTACTCCGGGGCGTTGTCACAATGATCACAGAATCCACTTCTTTATCCTGGTCACCTTCGTCTGACTCCTGCCTCCTCTGATCGCTGACCTTCGGAATATAAATAGCCTTAATCATAATATTAGTTATACGTTTACAATCAATTTAAATCCTAGTTTTTACCTTCAGTTTTCTCACTCAGAGTAGAGCTATCATCACAATAATTAGCCTCGGCACTCGTTTTCTACCTCCCGCTTCCATTTCCTCGACCTCACTCCTTTACTCCGGGGCGTTGTCACAATCATCACAGAATCCATTTATTTATCCAGGTCCCCTTCATCTGACTCCTGCCTCCCCTGTTCGCTGACCTTAATAATATAAGTATCCTGAAACATAATACTATTTATAATTTTTTCATCAATTTCAGTAGTAGTTATTTTATCTTCAGTTTTCTCACTCAGAGTAGAGCTATTATCACAATAATTAGCCTCGGCACTCGTCTTCTACCTCCCACTTCCATTTCCTCGACCTCATTCCTTTACTCCGGGGCGTTGTCATTATCATAACAGAATCCACTTCTTTATCCAGGTCACCTTCATCTGACTCCTGCCTCTTCTGTTCGCTGACCTTCGGAATATAAATATCCTTAATAATAATATTAGTTATACTTTTATAATCAATTTCAGTCCTAGTTTTTTTATTCTCAGTTTTCTCACTCAGAGTAGAGTTACCATCACATGATTTGCCTCAACACTCTTCTCCTACCTCCCACTTCCTTTTCCTCGTCCTCACTCCTTTACTCCGGGGCGTTGTCACAATCAACACAGAATCCATTTCTTTATCCAGGTCACCTTCATCTGACTCCTGCCTCCTATGTTCGCTGGCCTTATGAATGAAATTATCCTTAATCATAACGTTAATTATACATTTAAAATCAATTTAAATCCTAGTTTTTATCCTCAGGTTTCTCACTCAGAGTAGAGCTATCATCACATGATTTAGCCTCGGCACTTTTCTTCTATCTCCCGCTTCCTTTTCCTCGACCTCACTTCTTTTTTCCGGGGCGTTGTCACAATCATCACAGAATCTACTTATTTATCCAGGTCCCCTTCATCTGACTCCTGCCTCCCCTGCTCGCTGACCTTAGGAATGTAAGTATCCTGAAACATAATATTAGGTATACTTTTTTCAACAATTTCAGTCCTAGTTTTTTTATCTTCAGTTTTCTCACTCAGAGTAGAGCTATCATCACAATATTTAGCCTCGGCACTCTTCTCCTACCACCCGCTTCCATTTACTCGACCTCACTCCTTTACTCCGGGGCGTTGTCACAATCATCACAGAATCCACTTCTTTTTCCAGGTCGCCTTCATCTGACTCCTGCCTCCTCTGTTCGCTGGCCTTATGAATGAAATTATCCTTAATCATAACGTTAATTATACATTTAAAATCAATTTAAATCCTAGTTTTTATCCTCAGTTTTCTCACTCAGAGTAGAGCTATCATCACATGATTTAGCCTCGGCACTTTTCTTCTATCTCCCGCTTCCTTTTCCTCGACCTCACTTCTTTTTTCCGGGGCGTTGTCACAATCATCACAGAATCTACTTATTTATCCAGGTCCCCTTCATCTGACTCCTGCCTCCCCTGCTCGCTGACCTTAGGAATATAAGTGTCCTGAAACATAAAATGAGTTATACTTTTTTCATCAATTTCAGTCCCAGTTTTTTTATCTTCAGCTTTCTCACTCAGAGTAGAGCTATCATCACAATATTTAGCCTCGGCACTCCTCATCTACCTCACGCTTCCTTTTCCTCGACCTCACTCCTTTACTCCGGGGCGTTGTCACAATGATCACAGAATCCACTTCTTTATCCTGGTCACCTTCGTCTGACTCCTGCCTCCTCTGATCGCTGACCTTCGGAATATAAATAGCCTTAATCATAATATTAGTTATACGTTTATAATCAATTTAAATCCTAGTTTTACCTTCAGTTTTCTCACTCAGAGTAGAGCTATCATCACAATAATTAGCCTCGGCACTCGTTGTCTACCTCCCGCTTCCATTTCCTCGACCTCACTCCTTTACTCCGGGGCGTTGTCACAATCATCGCAGAATCCATTTCGTTATCCAGGTCACCGTCATCTGACTCCTGCCTCCTCTGTTCGCTGACCTTAGGAATATAAATATCCTTAATAATAATATTTGTTATACTTTTATAATCCATTTCAGTCCTAATTTTTTTATTCTCAATTTTCTCACTCAGAGTAGAGTTATCATCACATGATTTTGCCTCAGCACTTTTCTCCTACCTCCCGCTTCCTTTTCCTCGACCTCACTCCTTTACTCCGGGGCGTTGTCACAATCATCACAGAATCCATTTCTTTATCCAGGTCCCCTTCATCTGACTCCTGCCTCCCCTGTTCGCTGACCTTAATAATATAAGTATCCTGAAACATAATCTTATTTTTAATTTTTTCATCAATTTCAGTACTAGTTTTTTTATCTTCAGTTTTCTCACTCAGAGTAGAGCTATTATCACATTTTTTAGCCTCGGCACTCCTCTTCAACCTCCCACTTCCATTTCCTTGACCTCACTTCTTTACTCCGGGGCGTTGTCACAATCATCACAGAATCCACTTCTTTATCCAGGTCACCGTCATCTGACTCCTGCCTCCTCTGTTCGCTGACCTTCGGAATATAAAAAACCATAATAATAATATTAGTTATACTTCTATAATCAATTTCAGTCCATGTTTTTTTATTCTCAGTTTTCTCACTCAGAGTAGAGTTATCATCACATAATTTGCCTCAGCACTCTAATCCTACCTCCCGCTTCCCTTTCCTCGACCTCACTCCTTTACTCCGGGGCGTTGTCACAATCATCACCGAATCCATTTCTTCATCCAGGTTCCCTTCATCTGACGCCTGCCTCCCCTGTTCGCTGACCTTAGGAATATAAGTATCCTGAAACATAAAATTAGTTATACTTTTTTCAACAATTTCAGTCTTAGTTTTTTTATCTTCAGTTTTCTCACTCAGAGTAGAGCTATCATCACAATATTTAGCCTCGGCCTTCCTCTTCTACCTCCGCTTCCATTTCCTCGACCTCACTCCTTTACTCCGGGGCGTTGTCAAAATCATCACAGAATCCACTACTTTATCCAGGTCACCTTCATCTGACTCCTGCCTCATCTGTTCGCTGACCTTAGGAATATAAATATCCTTAATAATAATATTAGTTATACTTCTATAATCAATTTCAGTCCTAGTTTTTTATTCTCAGTTTTCTCACTCAGAGTAGAGTTATCATCACATATTTTGCCTCAGCACTCTTCTCCTACCTCCCGCTTCCCTTTCCTCGACCTCACTCCTTTACTCCGGGGCGTTGTCACAATCATCACCGAATCCATTTCTTCATCCAGGTTCCCTTCATCTGACGCCTGCCTCCCCTGTTCGCTGACCTTAGGAATATAAGTATCCTGAAACATAAAATTAGTTATACTTTTTTCAACAATTTCAGTCCTAGTTTTTTTATCTTCAGTTTTCTCACTCAGAGTAGAGCTATCATCACAATAATTAGCCTCGGCACTCGTCTTCTACCTCCCGCTTCCATTCCTCGACCTCATTCCTTTACTCCGGGGCGTTGTCATTATCATAACAGAATCCACTTCTTTATCCAGGTCACCTTCATCTGACTCCTGCCTCTTCTGTTCGCTGTCCTTCCGAATATGAATATCCTTAATAATAATATTAGTTATACTTTTATAATCAATTTCAGTCCTAGTTTTTTTATTCTCAGTTTTCTCACTCAGAGTAGAGTTACCATCACATGATTTTGCCTCAGCACTCTTCTCCTGCCTCCCGCTTCCTTTTCCTCGACTTCACTCCTTTACTGCGGGGCATTGTCCTAGTCATCACAGAATCCACTTCTTTATCCAAGTCTCTTCCATCTGACTCCTGTCTCCCCCGTTCGCCAACCTTAGGAATAACAATAGGAAGTTTTTAATCTCAGTTGTTTTTTGCACAGAGTAGAGCTATCTTTAGTGATTTAGCCTGGGCACTCTGCTTCTTTTCCCTCAAGCGAATCATCATGCCGAGCAGCTCCTCTCTCGCCTTTTCATGCAGCCCTGTGGCCATCAGGACAGGTTTACAATTCCTACTACGGTTTTTCACGGCTCTTTTTTTGAATTGCTCCAATGTATTTTTCCGTTACACCTTTTGATTGAACTCGCGCAAGAAATCCCGCCACTCTTTTTGATTCAACTTACTCAAGAACATCCACTTATTTCCTTCGAAGGTGTTCTTTTGCCTCACCACATCAGTCAAGAGTACCATGCCCACGCTAGAGAGCTCGATCGCCAGTGACAACTCCAGATTCTTCCTGGGAGATCCCAAGAGTGGTGTGGCCGTGTCCAAACAAATATCACCGCTCAAGTCTTGCAGCAGCTCGCGTGTAGTACCCGGACTATAATTCCCGGTCGCCCCCTCCTAGTTGAGTGCAGCCCCCAACTCCATCTCTTCTTCAGATTCGCAGAGGTTTTCATCCATACACACACACTCTCTCTCTCTCTCTCCTGTTACAGATTGGTTACTTTCCAATGCGTCTTTGAATGTGCTCTCCATGGGAAGGCTCATCTTGCATCCAAGAGTGTCGACTGACAGATGTGAAGGCATCGCCGGATCCACTGCTTCATACACAGCCAGGGATTCATACAGGGCTCCCGCTGCGTCCAGCTTCCATTCCTCGTGATGCAATTCTACCTCCTCAATTCCATAATGTTCCAAATGTTTCCTCGAACTGAACTACAATTCATCCTTCAGAGCTAGATGACCATCTTCCATGATATTTCTTCCGATATCGTATATCGGCTCCTTATTCTCAAATCCAGCACTTTAGTCATTTCCCGAACTTCATATTTGGGAGGCAATGAACCCAGAATCTTTTGACTTGAGTGATTCATTAATTTATTTTTGTTTTACACGTATGGAATTACACTGCCGCCGAATGCCCGATGAACAGGGAGCTTAGTGTAAATGATTCTGTTGTTTCTCCACAGCCTTTAAAGCATGTACCGACGGGACCACCATTGGGTTATTCATTCATAATATCATTCGGCTGACTTCCGGGAATTATGGATGATAACAGATAGCACGTCCCGCTCAAGGATTGTCTCAAGTTTTTTTCGCAAACTCAAAGCTCTTCGAAAATGATGGAATTCTCAAGACTTATCTGGTGATTTTCGCTACAGGATTCAGGTTCCAGAATAATTGAAGATTTCTCTAGCGTTCTTCATTGCAGCTGGACTCTGAAGTTGAGCACTGTCAGCTCTGCGTCCTTCACTTTTCCAAAAAGAGCGGTTTCACTCGTCCAGGCCCTGAAGTTTTCTTGTTTACACCAGTTCAACGCCCAACCATCCAAGATGTTGATCAAGCTCACGTACACGACATAATGTTGGTATGCGGTCACGAGTGGATCCGGGAAGGCATATGTCACGGCAAGTCCGTAGATACAAATGGCTACCTCACTAGCCCTCTGATCATTCCTCGAAGGTCAAAACGCATTGCCAATCATAGGTCAGTCAGAAGAGGTATGCCTCCATTCACCTCTCTCATCTCTTCTCTGTTCTCCTCTCCTGTCAAGTGTCATCTCAGTATCAAGAAAAACGCCACCAATAGGTTCTTTAGCCCTGCACCACACTTATAGGAGTAAGTCTCAAGATTCGGGTTCCCCATATTTCATCAGTCGATGGAATGCCGCCAGGTTCCCATGCGCCATGAGTATTAGTGTCAAGTATCCATCGATTCTCAGGGTTTCCACGCCTCTGCTTAACATATACACAGGACCCATGTTGAACAGACACCTGGAATACACCAGATCCAAAGCTAGCAGCAGTTTGATTGAGATGCTCACGAGATCCTGCATAAATGCCTCAAAAAAGTGTCTCCCGCGTAAAATTTTTTACCCATATACTTTTTTCTCGCGGCATGAATTCAAGAATCTCAGGATGTCGTATGTTTCTCTGGTCTTCAATTCACCTATCGTATGCTCTCTCGAGAAGCCGACGATAGTGATCTCGTTCGCTGACCGAAAGTGCCCACCGTCATTTCCCTCTTCTCGGAGATCTCAAGTTGATACCCCATAATTGCTTGATCAGGGGAGGTGCACTTTCCATCGTTTTATCTGTCAAATTCTCCAGTCTTGGTGTCGGGAACAGTCATCTCCCTCTTTCTTGAGTCAGGCGTTACACCATCGATTCTAACCGCTTATCTGCTTCTGCGTTTTTCCCATCCATTGATAGGTGCTATCGCACTGCTAGTGGAAACGTTATTGTCAGTTACATGCTCAAAAAACACAAAATGGCGGCCAAGTGGCTTATCACGGAGTGGTCATCCCCCATTGCCTAGCCATAATCGATATCTCGAGACAAAGCACCTCCCCAACACGCTCAAAATGTCTGCGAGCTCGTATAAAACACTCAGGGCATGAAACACATCTGCCCACGCCTGCGCCACATCTGCCCACGCCCCTCAAGTTTACTGGCCCAAGCTCCCGATTATGCGCTTCCACTAGCATCCGCAGCCCGTTGCCCACTGCTATCAAAATCAACATCGTGTACAAGAACTGCAGATATGGTGGCATGCCTGCATAGCCTGGTGATGATGTAAATACCACCTTTGACCCCAATCGAGTAGCCACCAATTCCTGAACCTCGCTCATTGCAGCGAGCAACGTCTGAATCGCCTCCCAGATAATCGTTGGCGTCGGTTCTCTGTTTAGCAAGTGCTCAAGCAATCCCGCTACGTGCAGATGATCGTTCAACCCCGCGAACAACAACCACTCTTGCTCACACGGCGTTGCTGACTTCAGTGCCACATTAGGAGTCAACGTTTGATTCAGTTCCGCGCCTGGTAGCAATTACACTAAGGTTTCCGGCCCAAATGACTACGGGATGTTCCTTCAAAGTCTTACCCCGCCTCGATGATCACCCTCGCTGCTCCAGGGTCCGAGAAATCATAAGCTGCCAGTCTTGGTCAGCTGCGAGGTTCTGTAATAATTCCTGTATCTTAGATCTTCTGACAGTTTCGGGCCCATGTAGGCGGTATCGGGCATACCCATGCTTTTTTGGCTGAAGAAGTTTCTTCACGGCCCATTACTGCGCAGGAATTGTCACCCTGATCCTGACAATACTCGAGCGATGCTTAGGTGGCTCCACGACAATGCATGGTATTCCGAACTCCCCGAGAGCCAAGTTGTCTGGTCCAATGATAGATTTCCTAGGAATCCCAGTTAAGTCCGCCGTTGCCAAGGTTTCATCTCGAGAAATATGCGCTTCATGCGCCTTCAGCCAGTCCACGCAGTTGTGATTGCTCCTCGTGCGACACTCTTGATTCCCAAAACCTATATTAGCTCTTGCCTGCAGGTCAGATCACGCTTGAAGGCAAAATCGTTCACTCGCTCCAATGTCCTAGCTTTGCTTGATTCTCCAGAACCTCCTGCCTGTGCTCGGGCATTCTTCTTTCTTTCTGATGACACCACATAGCTTTGTGGTGTGGTAGACTCCACCTCGTCCCTCTACATGGGTATCAAACCCAGCTGACTCTTTGTGATGCTCCTCGATCTCCCTCTAGAAACAACTCACCCTCCCAAGCGGTCAGCCACTGGCCTAATCGAGAAGAAGGAAGGCTTCGGGGTTGGACCAAAAGTGATTTGGTCGGTCTCCAACAGATTCGGCTCTAGAATTTTGATGTGTTTCAGAAATAAACCACTCAGCTACTCCGTGCCATTAGGGCTAACGAAGTGGATGCCGTCTGAAGATGCGTTCAACGTAGGGAGTCCTCCGTCATTTACGCGACGTCGAGCAGCCTCACGGGAAGGACGTTTCTCTTCTACCATTGCCTGATTATATCAATGATGTGGCCGCCTCTCATTCATAATCATTAAATTTTGGTCCTGAATCATATTTTAGGTAACTATGCAAACTGTGAGCACCGTAGGGTCCAAATAGATCCTCAGCTCCTCAAGAATGCAGCTCACCTTCAACTGCAGTCTTATTATCTTTCGGGTATCGCCTCTAGAAACATCGTTCGTTCCCATGATTAGGATAACCATTTAATTATTTTCCTTTTCCAGCATCTCCAGTGACGCCAACATCTGACGCATTGCTGCACCCGAGAAACTCAAGACTCCCACCTGCCAGTGCGCCTGGATCCTTGTCAGAACCTTGATGAGACTGCCCATAATGATCAAGTGGACCGTGCCCTCGGGCGTTCTAGGCTGCGTGTAATTTTTCGCCCAGGCGTGTCGTTGAAGACGTCCCTTCTTTCATTTTGCAAAGCCGTCCAGTCCTCCCCGCGATGTTGGTGATATGCGCCGTCGACATTCTTCTTTTGGCTGCAGCTCATGAAACTCCTGACTTGTTCTCAGCCCTGTCGACGGTTTGGTCGAAAGGGGAAATTCTGCTGCGCCATACTCCGTCATATTGCTTAAGCCGAAGTTTCTCGCCAGGTCGAATCACCTCAAACATCCGTCGATGTTGCAGAACATCCACTTTGTTTGTTCTTGATTAGAAAAGCCGTCCAATGTATAGCCCAGCATCAACACAGCCTCGGTCACTGACTCCCCGCACTCCCCTTGTGACTCTAGTTGCAGGATAGAATTGAGCATCACTGCCAGCCTCCCCTCCACCCGCAAGAAATCGAGACCCCCAAGCGCCTGTACATCTCATCGAGCGCGGGCTTTTTTGGGCTTGCACATATTTCCAGAAACTATCTGCCATTGCTTCTTTCTCAAGAGTTCTTCTTTACTTGTCAAACACTCACGAATAACCTTCCTAGGTTTTTACCCACAAAATACCTTACCCGGGGTAATACTCAGGAATTACTTTTCGCAGATCAGTACACAAGAAATACTTTTCTCCTGTATCGATTACTCTTGTAGTTTCGATTCAATTTTCGTTTTTGTTTTTTGATGATTCAAAACCAATCTGGAATTAAAACTGAATCTTAGACCAAGTTGTTTTTGCTCTTGACCAACCAAAAACTCCCCCCTTAGCACCTTTAAAACATTATTTGAACAATTTTTGATAAAAAGATTCGAATAAGTAAGAAAATCACAAAGATACGCTTATCTTTTAGCA